GTGGGTTTATTTCCAGGCTCTCTATTCTGCTCCATTGGTCTATATTTCTGTCTTTATGCCACTACCGTTCTGTTTTAATTACCATAGGTTTGTAATATGTTTTGAAGTCATGAGTGTGAGGCCTTTGGCTTTGTTCTCTTTCAAGATCATTTTGGCTATTCAGGGTCCTTTGTGGTTCCATATGAATTTTAGAATTGTTGTTTCTATTTCTTCAAAAAATGCTGTTGGGACTTTGATAGAGACTGAACTGAATTTGTAGATTGCTTTGGTTAATATGAACATCTTGATATCAATTCTTCTAATCTATGAAAGTAGCATGTCTTTCCATTTATTTGCGTCTTATTTAGTTTCCTCCAGCAGTGTTTTGTAGCTTTTAGTGTACAAGCATTTAGCATCCTTGTTTAAGTTTACTCCAAGTATTTTTTTCTTTTTGATGATATTATAAATATGATTGTTTTCTTTTCTTCCTCTTCTTTTTTTAGTAATACAAATAATATCAACACTTACTGTGTGCCAAGGCATTGTTCTAAGCACTTTACATAATCAACTCACTTAATTTTGTTCTTCAAGTATAATTAACACAGTGTTATATTAATTTCAGTTGTACAATATAATGATTTAACAATTCTATACATTTCTCAGTGCTCATTACTCTCAATTCCCTTTATCTATTTCACCCATCCCCCCACCAACCTCTCCTCTAGCAACAACCACTTTGTTCTCTGTATTTAAGAGTCTGGTTGTTTTGTCTCTTGTTTCTTTGTTTATTCATTTGTTTTCTTTCTTAAATTCCACATATGAGTGAAATCATATGGTATTTGTCTTTCTCAAACTGACTTATTTCACTTAGCATTATATCGAATAGGATTGTTTTCTTAATTTCCTTTTTGCATTACTCATTATTAGTCAGAAACACAACTGATGTTGATTTAATACCCTGCAAACTTGCTGAATTTTTTTATTAGTTCCAACTGCTTTTTTTTTTTTTTTGTAGAATCATTAGGGTTTTCTAGATATAAGATGTAAGATATGAGATAATTTTACCTCTTTTTTTCTGATTTGGAAACCTTTTCTTTCTTTCTCTTGTCTAATTGCTATAGCTAAGACTGCCAATAATATGTTGAATACAAGTGGCAAGAGTGGGCATCCTTGTTTTGTTCCTGATCTTAGAAGAAAGACTTAGATCTTTCTTAGAGGAAAGACTTAGATTTTTCTGTTTTTCACTGTTGAGTATGATGTTAGCTGTGGGCTTTTCATATATGGCCTGTCTTTTTTTTTTTTTTTAAGATTTTATTTATTTATTTGACAGAGAGATAGAGAGAGAGCACAAGTAGGCAGAGCGGCAGGCAGAGAGAGAGGGAGAAGCAGGCTCCCAGCTGAGCTGGGATCCCCATGAGGGACTCGATCCCAGGACCCTGGGATCATGACCTGAGCTGAAGGCAGACGCTTAACCGACTGAGCCACCCAGGTGTCCTGGCCTGTCTTATATTGAGGTAATTTCCTTCTATTCCTAGTTTTTTGAGTGTTTTTATCATGAAAGGATGTTGAATTTTGTTAAATGCTTTTCTGCATCTATTGAAATGATCATGTGATTTGATCCTTCATTCTGTTAATGTGCTATATCACATTGATAGATTTTTGTATGTTGAACCATCCTTGCAACACAGGGATAAATACCACTTGGCTATGGTGTAAGATTCTTTCTATGTGCTGTTGAATTGCGTTTGCTAGTATTTGTTGAGGATTTTGCACCTATGTTCATTAGGAATATTGGCCTGTGGTCATCTTTTCTTGCAGTGTCTTTCACATTTGGTATAATGCCAGCCTCATGAAATGACTTTGGAAGTGTTTCCCATTCTTCAATTTTTTGGAAGAGTTTGAGAAAGATTAGCATTAATCTTTAAATTTTTGGTAGAATTCTCCAATGAAGCCATCTGGTCCTGGGCTTTTGTTTATTGGGAAGCTTTTGATTACTGATTTGATCTCCTCACCAGTTATAGAAATGTTCAGATTTCCAGTTTCTTCATAATTCAGTCTTGGTGGGTTGTATGTTTCTAGGACTTTATTTCTTCTGGGTTTTTCAATTTGTCAGTATGTAACTGTTTATGATAGTCTTTTATAGTCCTTTTTTATTTTCGTGGCTGCAGTAGTACTCATTTTTCGTTTCTGATTTTATTTGAGTCTTTTTTTAAGTCTAGCTAAAGGTTTGCCAATTTTATCTTTTCAAAAACCAAGTTTTAGTATTATTGCCTTTTTCCCATTTTTGTTTCATTTATTTCTGCTCTAATCTTTATTTTTTTAAAAATATTTATTTATCTATTTATTTATTTATTTATTTAGAGCGAGTGGGAAGGGTAGAGGGAGAGGGAGAGAGAGAATCCCAAGTAGGTTCCATGCCCAGTGTGGAATCTGACTCAGGGCTCAATCCCACAAACCCGAGATCACGACCCAAGCTGAAATCAAGAGTCAGACACTCATCTGACTGAGCCACCCAGGAGTCCCACTAATCTTTATTATTTCCTTTATTTTGCTAATTCTGGGCTTAGTTTATTCTTCTTTTTCTAGATCCTTGAAGTGTAGAGTTAGATTGTTTGAGATCTTTCTTCTTTTTTTAATGTAGGCATTGGCTGCTATAAACTTCCCTCTTAGTACTGCTATTGCTGCATTCCTTAAGTTTCGATATGTTGTGTTCTCATTTTTGTTTGGCTCAAGATATTGTCTAATTTCTCTTCTGATTTCTTCTTTGACCCATTGTTTATTCAAGAGTGTGTTGTTTAATTTCCACATATTTGTGAATTTTCATTTTCCTTCTGCTATTAATTTCCAGTTTTCATTCCATTGTGATCAGAAAAGATACTTGGTATGATTTCAATCTTCTTAAATTTGTTAAGACTTGGGCGCCTGGGTGGCTCAGTTGGTTAAGCGACTGCCTTCGGCTCAGGTCATGATCCTGGAGTCCCGGGATCGAGTCCCACATCAGGCTCCCTGCTTAGCAGGGAGCCTGCTTCTCCCTCTGACCCTCCTCCCTCTCATGCTCTCTGTCTCTCATTCTCTCTGTCTCAAATAAATAAATAAAATCTTAAAAAAAAAAAAATTTGTTAAGACTTGTTTTATGACCTAATGTGACCTATGCTGGAAAATGTTCCATGTGCGCTTGAGAAGAATGTGTATTCTGCTGCTGTTGGGTCGACTGTTCTGGATAGGTCTATATTTGTTAAGCCCATTTGTTCTATAATTTTTTCAAGCACCTGTGTTTCCTTGTTGATCTGTCTGGATGCATTATTGAAATGCGATATTAAAATCTCCTAATATTATTGCATTGCTGTCTACTACTCCCTTCAGTTCTGACATTTACTTCATATATTTGGGTGCTCTGATATTGGGTGCATATACATATTTATAATTATTATATCTTTCTGATTAATTGAACTTTCATCATTATATGTCTTTTTTTCCCCTTGTGACAGTTTTTGACTTACAGTCTATTTTGTGTGACATAAGTATGTCCACTCCTGCTCTCTTTTGGTTACCATTGGCACAGAATATCTTTTTCCGTCCTTTCACTTTCAGCCTATGTGTGTCCTTAAATCTAAAGTGAGTATCTTGCAGACAGCATATACTTGAGTCTTTAAAAAAAAAAAATGTATCTATTCAGCCACTCTAGGGGGTTTAATCCATTTGCATTTAAAGTAATTACTGATAGGGAAGAACATGATGTTGCCATTTTGTTAACTGTTTGCTGTATGTCTTGTAGCTTTTTTGCCCCTCTTCCTCTCTTGCTGCCTTACTTTGTATTTTGTTGACTGGTTTTATTGACATGACTTGATTCCTTTCTCATTTTCGTTTGTGAACCTGGATGTCCATTTCCTTGCTCAGACTTGGGGAGTGTTTGGCCATTATTTTTCAAATATGCTTTCTGTCACTGGAACTCCCATACTGTGTATATTAATTCACTTAATGATATCCCATATGTCCCTAGGTTTTCTTAACTTTTTTTTTTTGTTTTAAATGTGTATCTCTGGCTGGATAATTTCAAACGAACTGTCTTTGAATTTGCTGGTTCATTCTTCTCCAAATTAAGTTTGTTGTTGAACTCCTATAGTGAATTTTTCAATTCGGTTATATTCTTTAGCTCCAAAATTTGGTTCTTTTAAAATATTTTCTCCTTGCTGCTGCTGCTAGTCTTATTTTATTCATGTATCATTTTCCTGAGTTCATTAAGCATCCCAGAGAGGCTTTTTAAAATATGGATTCTCAGACCCTATTGGCAGAGATTCTAATTCAGTAGTCCGTAGTGGAGCCTGGAAATCTGTATTTCTGAAAGTTTCCCTAGGTAATTTAGATGTACTTCTAGGTTTGGAAAACACTTCCAATGAAAAGACTACCTTCAACCCTTCCCACTTCCCACTTCTCTCTGAGATGCCACCATCTGTCTACCAGTATTCTGCCTCTGTATTATTTGAGGGATCTTGAACCCTTTCTGCCTTCAGGCAGCCTTCCTGGATTGACTCCTGTCTGACCATGAGTTTCTTAGAATTCTCCCCAGCCCTCTCCAACCCCAAATGGGCCTATACTTCCTATTTCTGTATTAATTTGGCATTTTATCCCTTCAATTTGCTATATGAGTCTTAAGCCATCACTGTCTAAAAAACTTCTGGACTAAGTCTACCCTAATTTTTTTTATTATTTAATGACAAAAAAGTGGTGAATGTAGTAAAGGTAGAACTCTGAGAGCCCGGGTTCACATCTCTCTTCTTATAGGGTATGACCTGGGATAGGTTTAGTTTCCTTTCTGGGTCTCAGTTTCCTCATCTGTGAGATGAGCAGTGAATAGATGGTCTCCATGATCCTTCCTTTTAGACTCTGACTCTCCTTCCTTCTCTTCTGCACTCCATAGTTGAGGAAGTGGAATTCTGGAGTCATTCCTGAAACTCTGCCCTAAATCAAAGGAACCAGCAGGCCTGCAAGTTTTCTCTCTACCTCCCTTTCCAGGAGCAACCATGGCCCTGAGTGATGTTGATGTGCAGAAGCAGATTAAGCACATGATGGCTTTCATTGAGCAGGAAGCCAATGAGAAGGCAGAAGAAATAGATGCCAAGTCTGAGGAAGAGTTCAACATTGAGAAAGGACGCCTTGTGCAAACCCAACGACTGAAGATTATGGAGTATTATGAGAAGAAGGAGAAGCAGATAGAACAGCAGAAGAAAATCCAGATGTCCACCATGAGGAATCAGGCAAGGCTGAAAGTCCTGAGAGCCCGAGATGACCTTGTCTCAGAGTTGCTGAATGATGCAAAGCTGAGACTCAGCAGGGTTGTGGCAGACCCAGAAATCTACCAGGGGCTGCTGGATAAACTAGTGCTTCAGGGTCTGCTCCGACTGCTGGAGCCCGTGGTAATCGTACGCTGCAGGCCACAGGACATCCTCCTGGTGGAGGCTGCAGTGCAAAAAGCCATCCCCGAGTACATGATAGTCTCCCAAAAATGTGTGGATGTCCAAGTTGATCAAGAGGTGCACCTGGCTATGAATGCAGCTGGAGGTGTGGAGGTCTACAGTGGCAATCAGAGAATAAAGGTTTCCAATACCCTAGAAAGTCGACTGGATCTCTTAGCCCAACAAAAGATGCCTGAAATACGAAAAGCCTTGTTTGGAGCCAATGCCAACAGAAAGTTTTTCATATAAGCCTCTGCCAAATGAAGCTCATGTTGAAGTGCTAAGCCATTAAAAGCATACGTTATTAGGGCAAAGGAAACTAGTCATGTTTCCTCTTCTTTGTTGCTTTGATAGGATTCTATCTTCTTACATGAAATACCCTTTTAATAGCTAAAGGCATTATATTTTGCAATGAAACTTGGAAATGCTTAGAAATCCAATTCTGGTTTATCCATACATGCTGCGTCTTCTGGTCAGTTCAATAGTCTAGGTTGAAGGGAGTAAAGACATCTGCTCTTTAGCTTGTCCTTCAGTTGAGATGTGAAGGATCTCAGTGGTTTGTGGGTTTGAGTACTCTAAAATTCTTTAATATTATTTGAAGTGTGTTTTCCTTCTTTTGCTTCAGCTTTCTGTATTTATGTTATTTAATGAAGTTTAGCGATCTTTTGTGTGTGTGTATAGGGCCAACTTCATGGGCATGTGACCAGAATAGTCACATAGGGTTCCATGAGCAAAAGAGCCCAATGCTTGGGGTTTAATGCTCTACAGCAATGACTTGAAATTCTTAGTTTTATCTTTGAAAATGTGTTTTATAAGTGAAGAATGCTGGGACTTTGGAGCATATGCCAGGCACTTGGAGCCTTAGCTCATGCAAGGTACAAAATACCAAAGCCTACCCTCCTCCCTGGGATGGATTCTTGGCCATTCATTTCCCAGCTTACTGGTGCCTTGAGACCCAGCCTTCCCCTCCCTCACCCAGTCAACATTGCTGCTTTCTGCCTTTGGTGAGGTCTGGGTGTGCCTGCAAGGAGGGTCAGGGATGTGTGCATGCTCTGCAGAGTCTTAGAGCTGGACACAGTGGTGGCCATCTCTGCCCAAGAATGGCAGCTCCATGGCACATTCAGCAAGTGACTTGGTGAGGGTGAGTTTCTTGCCTACCACATACTGAGCACATCCTGGTGTGGAGGTTTAAAGACCCTGGGATTCACCTGTCTGCTATGAGTGGGTTCAGCTGGTCTACTGGAATGGGAGCTATTTGGCTTGACTTCCCTGACCCCAGCCAGGGCATAGCACATAGATGTGGGGGCTGGTGGGAAGTAGGACCCAGCTATTGTCAAGCTTGCTGGGCCTGAGTCTCAGGTTGGGAACATCAGGACCTTATGAGGAAAGTATCCCAGCCCCTCAGACAGCTCAGTGCCTAGGGGGACTTATGCTCATTTCTTTGGCCAGTTTGAGACATCTTCCAAGAGAAGCCAAGAAATACAGATTGTGTAATTTTGGTGATTCTCCATATGGGTATTTCACAATATAAAGATAAATGGTAAAATTCATGTTAATGATTTAAAATTTTAATTTTTATTTACTTAGCCATTAAATAGCAAATAAATACAATGACAAGTCAAAAGAGAGGCTGCAGAAGAAAGGAAAAAGCTTTATCTTTTAGGACTTTTCACTGTACTTTTCGAACAAAGGATTCCCACATTTTCTTTTTGCATTGGGCCCTGTAAATTATAGGTTGCTAGTTCTGCATGTGTATGCTGATTTACAGTCTAATCTATGGCCAAGTGTGGTTTATGTATTAAAATAAAGGTTTTTTGAAGAAAAGAAACCCCACGCCACTCTGCCAAAGACAAAGTTTGGCTTACGTGGTCAGGAACAGAAATGTTGTAAAGCCCAAACACAAAGTAGGAGACAGGTTATTAGAAATCAGGGTGTCTCACAAAGCCTGGATATAGGAATCTCTTATGGTCTCAGGAGAGGGCTGGGCCTGGGACTCCGAAAGCCATCTGAAATCCTCTACCTGGCTTCTTCATCTTTCTTTTAGGAGTCACTTTCTCTACTGCACAGTTTCAACGGTAGAGTATACATGCCTCATAAATTTACATTCTAAGGTTTTCATGGTATAGTTCCAGACACGAACTTCTTCTCTTACAATTCCACGTTCCTGAGAAGGAGTCCATCTGGCCCAGCTCAGGTCAGATGTTCACCTTCGGTCCAGCTGACATCTCAGAGAAAGGGGGTCCGTGCCAGCTAGACAATCTCTGCAAAGGGTGTCTTCTGTGTGGGTCTTTTTGAGCTGTGAGTCCAGTCATTTACTGAACATTTTCTGAATGCCAGTAATGAGTGAGGCCCTTTGCTAGCTGCTGGGCTGCAAAGAATACAATCGGGTCCTGTCCTTTAGTTATTGACACATAAACAGGTGAGGCTCATGTAATGGTAATGATACAAGGTGCAGGTGCCCGCCTAGAGCTGTATAAGAGGTACTGTGAGAATACGGTACAGGAAGAGAAGGTCACAGAAGGCTTCTGGGGTGCTGGCTGCTTTAGGCAAAGGAGGTGGGGGAAGCATATGCAAAGTCCCTGAGGTGTGAAAAAGCAAGTTGTGTTAGAGGAACTGCGCATAGTTCATTGTAATGGAGTATGAGGGATGTGGGGGACGTGACTACAGATGAAACTGGAAAGATGGACAGAGACTGATTATGAGGTGCAGTGGGCCTTGCTCTGGAGTTAGGCTAATTCTGCTGCATGGGTGATGAGGGCTCATTGAAGGACTTTAAGTAAGAGTGAAACTATGAGAGCTGGACTTTTAAAAGATTAGGCTGGTGTCACTGTGTGTGGAAAACACATTGGAGGGACAGAGAGGTTGGAGGCAGGAGCCCTGTTGGGGCTTATTTACCAGCCCAAGTGGGAGACGATAAATAATCGATGCAGCTCTTTTGTGAGATAGGTCGGATTCTTTAACACACAGGCTGGAAGAGACTAGAATTAGTGAGTTATGTCTTACCCCACTCCCCTGCCCTGGGGACAAAGAAAGAAAGAAAAGATAAAGAAAGAAAATTCTTTCCCTCATTCAGGCTTGAGGTTTTCTGTCAGTTTTGCTTCATCTTACAGTTTTTTCTTATGAGAGTGTGCTTCCCCTCAGAGTCTTCCCCCTTCTCTCATTCCAGGCCCAGCAAAGCCTCCCCTCCGCAGCTGCCTGAGCCCTCAGCTGCCTCTCTTCCTGGGAAGCCAGACCCCACTTCCTGCTGTAATCCAGGAGTATCTGAAGCCCCTTGGCTTGCCCCAGTTCTGGCCTTCTGAGCTGCCCTCAATTCATTACTGGGGCCCCTGACATTAATTCATCTCCAAAACAGCTGACAGGTAGATTTTATGAAGGTTTTTACGGGAAGTTGAGGAGAGCTTTACAGAGTGCCTGTGGGGCCCAATTACCCTAAGCCTCTTTTATTGGATTTTATTTTATTTTTTTAAAGATCTTATTTATTTATTTGAGAGAGCCAGCACAAGTGGTGGGGGGAGGACAGGGGGAGAGGGAGAACAGGCTCCCTGCTGAGCGAAGAGCCCGACAGGAGGCTCCCATCCCAGAGCCCTGGGATCCTGACCTGAGCAGAAGGCAGACGCTTAGCCCACTGAACCACCCAGGCGCCCCTCCCTAAGTTCCATTTAAACATCTCTCTGTTTTTCCAAACTTTTCTTTCGCCCTGAGCTGCCAGATACTTTCTCTTTCTCCTCAAACTTCTCCTCCTCAGCCTCTCAACACCTGGGCTCCAGTCTCCTCCATCATAATGTCCCCTCAGCAAAACAAAAGCTCGTGGCTAAGGGAGCCCTGCCCTCCCACAGTCCCTGGTTACAAGGACTCTACAGTCCCCAGTGAGGACTCTTCATGCACCACCTTTATTTACTGTTAGCTGCTTTTTCTACTCAGCCCATCTTTTTAAACATCGCTCCTTGTGAGTAGGGACAGTGGGACAGTGTTTTGATTCTTCCTTCTTGCATTTCCTGCTGCCTTGTTATTTTAGTGCTGATCTTGGGCGTGCACAGCACACATAGTAGGTTCTGAACAAACATCTACGGTTGTTGCATTCTTTCCTGGCCTGGCTCTGGTTCCTAGATGGAGGCCTCCAGAGTCTTTTTCCTCTTCGACATAGATGGTGCCATAGCAAGAGGCAAGTATGTGAGATGGGGACCAAGGGAAGGCTGCCAGGACTATAGTCCAGGGATGGTGCTTGACAAGAAAATCCTGCAAGATGGTCGGAGCCTGAGCTCCAGCAGGACTGCCCCCCGCCCCCAACTCCCTTCAGTCAGGCCTTGGTTACCTCCCAAAGGCAGCTGTGGGTTTATTGCTTTGCTTCCCTCCCTGGGAAACAAATGGGAGGGGCTTTGCTTTGGACCCGGGTGCAAAGAGGGACTGTGGAGGGGCTGGGTCCTCCTTGCGGGCCTCAGCCACGGGAAAGGCAAACCTTAGCCTTCAACACTAGCCCTGACCTGTGGGGTAGGCTGCTTGTCACCATTCGGACACCTGCACTCCTGCAGGGGTCTTTGCTTTAGAAATGCTTGCATGGGGCACTTCCGGTTAGTTGACTGGTACAAACGGGGTGCCTGGCTGCCTTGGTCAGTGGAGCGTGAGACTCTTGATCTTGGGGTTGTGAGTTCGAGCCCCACGTTGGGTGTAGAGATTACTTAAAAAAATAAAATAAAATCTTAAAAAAAACTAAAACCAAAAACAAAAGTACACACACTCTTTATTAGTGTTAACTATCCTACCCTCAAGAAGGCGTGTACCTCCTGTAAGCTCCTCGGTCCCTGTGAGCCAAAAGGAGCAAACTGTTTGAACCACAGGCAGGCACAACCCTTCCCCACAGCGCTCCTCATTAACACTTCGTCCCAAGGTGCAAGGGGAGCTGTTTGCGCTGGAGACAGAGGCTGTGCGGTGGGGAGGGGGGCGGGCTGCTTCTGCACGCTCCTTCCCTGCTGGGGGAAGCTGAGTGCCCACCAGAGCCAGGCCCTGCCCTTCACTGAGGCCTCTGCCCCAGGGACCCAGGAATCCTGTTGCCAGGGGTCACATGGTGGAGGGAGAGCCTACATTTAATTCTAATCCTGAGTTGCCTGGACAAGCAGAAATGGAGGGGATGTTTGAGCATGTGCTAGAACCTCAGAGGAGGCAAGGAAAGCAGACCAGCAGATTAGAACATGCTGCAGGGCTTCCTCTTTGATTCTAGGGTCCCAGGACCCCTGGAAGTAGGTCAACAGATC